TAGTCTACACATTGTTTTTGAAAACTGTACCATTTATTAAAGTGCAACCTGGGGGCATGGTCTTACAGCAGTGTCCCATTAGCAGAGGGAAAAAAATGTACATACCCCTTCAATTGAATATAGAACAATGAAGCTGGAAAGAACTTTCTTTTAAAGGTGGAAACACTTTTATTAACCAAATGGCACAAGAAGCTTTAGACAGTTTTCCCCAAGAGGGCTGCACTTGCATATTAAAAGGAACAATATGACCAGTTCCTTGGATAATGGGTGACTTAAGGACCAGTCAGGGTCTCTTCACTCAGGCAGGCCTCTTGAGAAGAGAATCTGAAATCCCTGCAAGTCCCTCCCAGCAGAAGGTATCCCCTAACATGCATGCTTCAGAGTCAGTCCCATTAGTCTTTGCAACTTAACAAATCAAGTGCCATTCTTTTGGTCTGAGTGGGTTTTAGCTTTACAATTGAATTAAAACTTATAATGCGAGTTAAAAATGAGGACAGACCCCCCCTAAAAGTATAGCAGTAAGATGCATCCTCTGCAGCTTGTTCTGTCCAAATCAATAGTGTTCCTTCCCTCCCCTGCAGATACTGCAGGGAGATCAAAAGCAGCTTCCACTGGAAGCTAACTGTAGCTCCCCCACTTCTACAGCATACCCATAGACCTCTAGCTCAGAGGAAGCAAGTCAGCCTACCCAGAGACTGAGAGAGGGTCAGCTCTAAGTAGGAAAAGAAGTGATACAGTTATTTAACTTAAGGAGGTGGATCTGAGCGGTGTTGTGGTTCCCCTGGATGTACTGGTAACACTACAGCTGACCCCTCCCAAGCTGGTGCAGTTCTCATTCCCCAGTTCACTTCAGCAGACAAACTGAGTACCCTTGCCTACACCTAGCCCTGCAGTTCCTGCTCCACGTGGGCCTGAGAGCTAGTTCTACCAGAGTCAAGTAGTAGTGGCTTCAACCTTATACCCTCCCCCCTTTTTTTTTTATGGCAATAGAGAGCTTGCACTTGGAAGCACAGATACGTACATGCAGTCAAAGCAGTGCTGTTCTTGTAACCTTCCTAGTGCTGACATTCAGCAGACCAAGCCAAACTAGTCATACACAGCTTGTGCCTTCGCTAGGTACAGGAGACAGATAGATAATGTGCCTCAACTCACCATGTTTCACTGGGAAACACTTTCTCCTGTTGTCTAACCTACTGGAGTAGACACCACTCCTGTTGTAGCTATCTGCTCCTGTTGGAGCAGACACATATGGATGAGTTGACATTCTACTGAAGACCTGGGCTCTACATGGCAGCTGGGGCTGTGTTCTTTGCTCCACCCCCTGCCATTTCACAGCAAAAAAAATCTAGTAATTACACGCTCAAATTCTGTAGCGTGAGCTTGCTCTGGTTCAGTGAATGAGAGACTATGCTGCCAGAAGCACTTCTATGTTTTTGCCAGAATAGCAAGACCTACCTTACTAGGACTTTGCTAGTACTGCCACACTGCTGTAGCTGAAATGTAATGTAGGGAAGATTTATGGCATCAGATTATTTTGTCTACTACAATCATTAAAATGAAAAAAAAGACCAAACTTCAGAACCTTGCTTGTTTAGTATTAATGAAATTTTTTTCATTTGTGACCACTGGAAAGCACTGACTAGTTTAACCCTACAGTCTAAAGTGTTAGCTGAGCTGTGAGCAGAGCTATGTGAACAGGAAGGAAGCAGGATTCTGGCAACAGCCCGTGCCCTAGGTAAGAGCACTCAGCACTACAGCTTTCACCCGGCCCTTGAGTTGCAGATGCCCGAGCACAGGCCACAACCAGGATGAAAACTCAAGCCCTCACGAACAGCAAGGATGGCTTTTTGTAGTAGTAATTTGCTCTCCAGGACACAGGTTAGGAAAGCAACAACACCCGCAACCACCACAACAAGCGCTTTACCTCCAGCCAGAAGTTAAAGTGGTGTCCAAAACCAGGTGCAATACCAGAGAACATGCTTCCACTGCATCGTCTGGCTCTGTGCTAGGAGCTTCTGCTCAGACTGGCAAGTACCAGGAGCAGGGAGCTGTTTGATGATGCGCATCTGAATGGAAAGAAGGCTGCAGAAGTGTTGCTTTCTTGGCTCTAGCTTGTTTCATTGGGCTAGATCTAGTATTTTAGATCTCATTTTCAGTATTTTTCAGCAGCCAAATTACCACCCCAAGAACCCCTACTCAGCATCCAGCTAGCCTGGTGAGAACCAAAACCTTAAGTTTTCAAGCTGCCTCTCTCTGTGTGCCCAGTAATATTCCTGTTTTGCCCTAGCCGAGCAGCTTGGCACCGCTGTGCCAGCTACAGCCCCACAGCCTGGATCTGCCGAAGTTTAAGGGCCTCAGGAGGCAGGAGTCCACCCAGCTCTCGCACAGCGCACAGCTGCCACAGGCAGGAACGTGGCTTTGTGTCTGTGGTTTGGGCTTTTAGGCAACAGAGGGATTCTGGGTTTCAGTCTTTGCTCTCTGCCCCTTGTTCCAGGAATACTTGCTGAAATAAGTCCTTGCCCAGTTCCCAGCCACAATGCCCAAGTGAGCACAGCTTAAAGTTAAGCACAGCTGAAATTTAAGTTGCACCTTATCTTGAAAGCCTTTTCCTTGACAGCTCCTTATTTAGCATACTACCTGCTGCAGTTCCTTAAGTATTTACCACTTTCTTTTTGTAGACCCAGTCCTCTGCTGTTTTAGCATCTCAGCTTTAGGGTGTGCTGCAGACAAGGATAAAGTGAAGAAAGAATGGGTCTAAGGTAGATATTTTGTTAAGGTACAGGCCACTCGAGGACAGATATTGAGGCACTTTTGGGAAGGGGATAAGCAACACAAGTGAGAATAATTCTATATGCCCTTTTGCAAGTATATAGCTACTGCCTTTCCTCTGCCAGCTGCAAGAGATCCACTGAAGAGACGTTGCATCACACAGTCTGGGGTAATTAGACCCTGCAGTTTAGGATTACTTTAATATACTTGAAGATGGAGGGGGAGAGGAACCTTCAATTCAAATCCATAACTGACCTTTTTAGCTAATGGCGTGTTCCCAGAGGAAACAGCCGCATGTGATAAATTTTCTAAATGCATGGTCAGTGGAGTGTGGGAGAAGGTTCAAAGTCTTGCTGACTTGTCAAATCTGTAAGACCCTAAAATGAGAATATAAAGGACCAAGCAACCAAACCACACCACAGCTGATGCTCCATTAAATGTAGGAACATACCAGGCCTTCACTCCACCATGAAAATGCTCAATGAAACAAATTAATTTATTTTCCTTACTACTGCTGCCACCTTGTTCTCACTGCTGTGTGTGAAGAAGACACGTTTTATTTAATGCCCCACCAGGCTCCTTGTGCCAACAAGCTAGGGACTTCTTCCCGAGCCGGCATGGATTTATTCTTGTTTGTCCTGTACTCACCTCCCACGCTACTACTGAAACAACCGTGTACAGAGAAGAGCCAAAATCGCACAAGGTACACACCCCCCACCCCACCCCCAGGCTGTACACAAAGTACCCGAGTGTCCACAAAATCCATCTCTGCTTCAGAGCTCATGTGGGTACTTCCGCGTAACGCGCTACGTGCCTACAGCAGGGGGATGTCCCAAATGTAGGTGCATCTTCTTCAGGAAGCAGAGGAGGTAGGTCAGGTTAGGAACGGCCCTTCTCCCGCAGAGAACATGCCCGGAGAAGACACGGAAGCCATCAGCAAAGCAGCAGGAGAGGGGCAGGCCTACCCCGACCCACTGGGCAGTAAAGCAGCCCTTGCCACATAAGAACAACCAGGTACCCTCACAGACTGTGTCACTTGTTGATAAACACTGTTGCAACACGTGAAATGAAGCAAAACCGTAAACACTCGTGCACATCCGTGACAAAAGGAGCACAAAGACACCTCTCCACGCAAGGGAAGCTCCCGTAAGGGGCCCACAGAGGGAACTGCGGTGGTGGGAGGGCAGACACGGGAGAGTCCATGGCGTGAGGAGGTCCCAGCAACCCGTTCTGGGCACACAGCACAGCAATGAGAGTACCTGCAGGGTACCAGGAAATGGCAAAAAAAGTCAATTTCATTTTGCAACATGGTACAGGGTTTTTCTTTTTTTGTTAAGGCCAACCTGCTCCCTTTTGTACATGGAAAAAGAGCAATCAATGATCAACAGTAAATCCAGAGCTCCTGAGTTCAGTCCACCGCAGCAGTACATACGCAACAATCCTTCCTCTTAATATTCAACTTCACAAACACAGTTCAAAATCCAAGAAGTTTTCTGGAAGATCCACTCTCATAAAAGCTTAAACAAGTAAACAAACAAAAAATTCCTCGGAATCTGCCAGGTTCTTACCAACTTCCCAGCACCGCGGGATACAGGTGGGATAGGAAAACGTAGCAATATCCTAAAATAGAGAATGTGCTAAAACCTCTTCACTCTCAGATCACTTAAGAAACGGGGTGATTAGGAGACATACTCTAGGTAAGGTTATTGAGAAATAAAGTACCTTGTCTTTGTGCCTTTAATGAAGAGTAAGCTTCCTGTAAGCTCACATTTTGCTTTTTACATTATCCCGAGTTCCCTTTCACCTACCTCCACCTGGTCTAAGCCACAGTGCCAGCACAAACCCTCCGAGATGCGTCAGCAGTTTTGCTGGAAAGCCTAAGGTCTTGCCCACAGAGCTGCAGTATGGACAAGGACAGACACGGAAACGTGCACTGAAAGAGGAAGACTCGCGGTTGGATCCGACGTAACTAATGCGTACGGCAATACTGAAAAGGTTTCTCTCCACGCACATTTGAAGCGCTGTGACTGCAGGAAGAGGGATTTACTTTTTGCCAAAGTAACTTTCTCATAATTTGTAAACCTGTAAGTTTAGCTAAATACAGATTCAGAGTCGCAAAAGAAAATCGCACTGAACAACACTCTGGGTCAGGCCAGGAATGGGCAGAGAGAGGAGATGTTTAATGCTGTTTTGCTCAGTTACTAGAATCCATTGCTTTATGTATCTGGGATTCTGTCACAGCCAAGACCAAGTTAGGACTAAATATACTCTGTGCTTAACCTGGGAAAGACGATACAGACTGCAGCGTGATACAGGACAGCATAGCGTTTAACCTTTGAATGGCACAGGAGGCATTGGCCTTGCTTCCACGTAGTTTTGCCGTTACCTTTGCTGACTACACCCTGGTACCAGACTGCTGATCAGAACGGCACTGTGTCCAGCGTGAATTTTGCACCTCTGGTAATTAAAGGGTGGCAGTAAAGTGGGCTGGGCAGGAGCAAGCAAATAGCAGTGTCCCTCCCAACCTCCCTGGCAGCCAAAGGGCTGCCCTGCACCTCTTCCCCAGGAACACCAGGATGCTCAGAGATAATACAGCTAGAGAGACAGCATCTTCACAGGATGGGTCTCCAGTAAATGTCAGGGGCCAAAACGGGTGTGAGCAAAGAGGTAAGAATAAGCACGCTCCCACTGGGGCTTAGGAGGAACCTGCGAGGTTACGAGGAGCAGTGCTGTACCTGAGAGGAAGCCGAGACAGAAGGGAGACCAGACTCTCGCTACAGGACTCAGGTTGGCTAATGTTTGCTAGGGAGGGCTCGGGGCGCGATGGGAAGTGACAAGACAGCACAGCTGCGATAGCGCTCAGTCTGAGAAGCCAAAAACTCCAGGGGTTGGCAGCAGCTGGCTCTCTGCTTCCCCTGGGGATTCTCTGTTCCAGTTCCTAGAGTACGAGCACCCCTTTCTTCAGCACCTGCACTTAAGTTCTTAAATTTGCAGATTTATTTTTTTTTTTAAAAAATACCCCTGTACTTTAATCACGAAAAACCAGTCCCCGCCCCAATTCTACTAAAAACGTGATTGTCCATAGCTGGAGGCTTATTGAACGACCTCACCCCATCACCATTAAGTTACTCAAATGTCCAATTAAACAGCAGGCAGCTCAACCTTTAGGTAACACAACTACAAAAACTGGATCGTGCTCTCTTCTCTCTCCCCCCTCCTCCTCCTCCAGAGAGCTCCGTTACTTTTTTCTAAGCACCAGTGCTACTCCGACTGCTACAGCTAATATAGCTACCGCAGCAGCCCCACCGTACAGCAATATAGATTTCCCTTCCGGCAATAAGATAGGCTTCTCCTCTGCAGTGGAAGATTTCTCTTCCATTTCTTCCAAACGGCCCTCTTTCCCCACTTTTTTTTCCCCCAGAAGCAGTATTTTCTCAGGTTCTGGTACAGCCTTTTCTTCTGATGGGGCTAACTTTGGGACAGGTTTACTCAATACGGGGATTTCAGGTTCAACAAGCTCTTCAGCCATTTTTCCCTTTTCCTCCTGTTTTGTACGCAGAAGCACAGAGGGATGTGCTTTTTCAACAGCAGCAACTTCAGCTTGAGGTTTTTCTTCCTGTAAGGAAGCAGGGGTTTCTGGAAACGCTGCCTGCATGGTCTCTGCAGCGACAGCTGACACCACTGCTTCCTCAATTCCCTCCGGTATCTCTTCCTTCTCCACGTGAACAATATCTGAGTTGGAAGAGTTGTTCTCACTCCGCTCTTCACCCCCTCCGTTGCTGTCCAGGCTTTTGACTTCTTCAGGATCCATGGCCACTTGCTGCCAGGACTCGGGTCCCAGGGAGACTGGCAGGCTCTCTGTGTGCCAGCTCTGACTCGCTGACAGGGAGACGGGCAGGCTCTCCGACTGCCAGGACGTGGTCACTGTGGGGGACTCCGGGGGGCTCACCTGTCCCGAGTTGTCACTGGTCAGGATGTAGATGTCGTTACTGTCCTCGGCGATGAGCCCGGGGTACTCTTCCTCTTCAGATTCCAAAGTAAAGACTGTCCCCTACAAACGAAAAGGAGGACACAACACGTGAGAGATGGCTTCAGCGTTACCTCCCCTGTCTGGGAAGGAACAGGACACCTGGAAACTTCATCGGGCTGGCAGAAAGATGAGAGGGCCTCTGCAGGAGCAGCAGTTGTCTGACCTACATTTTAGAAGAGACTACAAAACCCAGCTGGTCCAGCTGGCATTTCCAGAGAATGGAACCAATTATAAGAGCTTTGCTGGGAGCTCCTCCTTTCCCTGACATTACTGCATTGCTGAGTACATCACCAGCACATACCACGTGGGCACTACTAACCAGAGAACAAGATACCAAAGTCTGAAACTGAACAAAGAAAAAGAAAACAAACACAAGTACATGAGCCCAGTTGAATACCACTCCCTCTTCCGTTTTGTGCAAGTGCTCTGTATTGCTTGCCCATTTTCATCTAACAGTGTTTCTCTTACATTAATTTTATTACATTTTCAGTGCTCTCTGAAGCCTGTATTTCTACTTTGTACCAACAATCTGTAGTCTATAGTAATCCTGGTAATTTACTAGCAACAAATATAGCTAGTCTTAAATGAGTTCAGTTTCCAAGACAGAAAAGACATCCAAAGATGATGACAGGGTTTGTTTGTTTTTATTTGGCTAGGAAAAACCTCTGGACATCCTAAAAGTTTGTGTGGGATCCATTTACAGAAACTGCAAGTGTAAAATACTGATTGATTCCTTCCTTACAGAAAGAACAGCACTGGTGATCCTAGTCATGCATGGATCGCTGAGTATGCAACACAGAAGAGATTTGCTTCAAGGAAAAAAAATTAGGTGCAGATGAAGAACCTAAGATGGGTGTGATACCAAGAATGTAAAAACATGAGATAGGGGCAGACAGGAACCCCAAAGTTTGGTATGCCATATAACACAAGTCTGTGAAATCATTAACGAAGATTCAATTACTCCCTTGCTCCTAATAAAAATGATTTGAATATTTTATCAAGTACTGCAGTGCTGGGAGCCTTTTCCCGGCAAATTCCTCATTCAATTATCAAGCTTTCCTGTTCAGTCCCATCATAACACGAAGAAAAACATTTAAAAATCCATTCATTCTCTTTCCCCCTTCTGCACGCAATAGTTCTTCTAAAGCACTCCAAGCAGTTGTCCCTGTCTTTTTAAACCCTTTCCAACTCCTGTGAATTTGGGGTTTGGTTCTGCTCCAGCCTCCTATTGATGGCTTTCCATTCCAAGAGACCTCCTCAGTTGTTCCACAACTTTTTATGGATTCACACGGTGGCCCATGTCAGGAACTGATCCAAGTTAAAAACAAACACATTCTTTATTTTGCTGAGTTGGTTTTAATCCTGATCAGTGTCCACTGAGATGCTCGAGTGTGACTGTGGGTGGAGCGGGGCCAGCAGCTGCACCTGCTTGCACTGATGCCAAAAGAGCCGAATCAATACCCGTGCCCTGCTTAGAGAGCAGAAGGAAAACGCATTTCAGTTTCAGTAACTCCAATTTACCACTTAGTTCCTAATACATAAGGAGTTCAGGGCCTACAAGTCAACCATTTCTAACTTTCCTCAGGCATACTCGCAGAACTCATAGCTCTGGGCCAGCAGCAACGTGCTTTTCTCTCAGGGAAGCACGAGATGCGCAGACCCTCCACAGAGCCACCAGACACACTGCAATTCCTCACCTCCCTAGCAGGGGGAAGGACCTCCACACACACAAAAGCCACACCAAAAAGCGAGCTGGCAGGCACAGGAGTGACAGCACAAACGCTGCTGGTCACTGGCAGCAGCTTTAGCGAGAGCAAATAAAGGAGGAGTGGACTCCTGGTGAAAGCACTAAACTGGGACTTGAGAGATCTGCACAACTGCACAATGGGCAGTATCATTTTCATCTTTCATGCTGGAAACTATTCTCCTATCAATAAACTTTATGAAAAGGGGTCAGTGGAGCCAGAGTTGAGTATGGGAGTGAGGCTTCTCTACCCGCTCTCCCAAAACATCTTGCCATTTTGCAAAACTTGATGGACCCGTTCCTGGAGACTTCTGTACAACGGTGGGGGCTGCAGTACAGGACAGCACTGGGAAGGTCAAGATTTCATAATGTATTTTGGCAGAGGTGGGATCTAAATCTCATCTTCTCAGTACATGGAGTTTTGGAATATATTTGTGCATGAATAAAGGAACCTCACAGAACACTTCCAAAGGAATTTTTCTTCATAAATGCTTTTAAACTGCTTGGATATGGGAAGCATCATCCAGCTCAGTAACATGTTCAGAAACTCTAAAGAGAAGCGGTACACACAATTCCTCAGGGGAAGGTTAAAAGCAACCAAGCCATTCAACTAGGTACCTAAGGATCTCCACGAATTCTTGCTTCAGAAGGAAATAAAAACTAATAAAGCATTACATTTGTGCAAATGTTCAGACACCACACAGATGTCAACAAATCCAAAGCAAGTTCTGCTCTGCGAACAGTGACTGAGAATTCAAAACTCCAGTACCCTCTTGAAAGTCATGTTTCACTAGAAGAATGAAATTTTTTTCAAATGCAGCTCAGGCCATTAAAACAAAATGGAGCTCTATAGTCCAGGAGGAAGCAACCAGCATTGCAAAGTAAGGGCAATGGAAAAGAAAAGCCAAGAAGCTTAAGTCAACGCAGAGATTACCACATCCAAAGAGAGCAAATACTGAGCTGTGTGGGCCAGGGCTGCTGCGCAGGCTGCGAGGACAGGACTCCACACGCAGTGCCGACCTGTCCCCTTCCAGCAGACACTGGAGAGCGGCACAGCACAGTCAGTCACTGTGGTTAGCTTCCACCACCCTGTGCTGAGGATGGAGAGGCAGCTCGCTGCCCAGACACTCTGAGATCGTACATTCACTCCTTTGATCATCAGGATTTTCTCTGGATGTTGATGAAGTAGGACATATTCTCACTGTAATGTAAGCTACTAACAGACACCTATGATTATAGCAAATTTTTTTATTTCCACAGGCGATACAGACTCAGAATAACAGCAATCAAACAACAAAATAACTAGGTGTAAAACCTGCAATCTCATGAACCTCTATACTATTCTCCTCTCTGCTCAGCTCTACCCTTCCACAAATCAGAATCAATTTATTTCCTGCAGCATATCACAACAAACCAGACTACATCTGTAATCTGACGCTAGCAAAAAGAACAGGGACACACACAACTGGTAACAGCTCTTCTCTTAACATACCCCTGGAACTGCACGCACGCTGCTGTGACTGGTTGAACATAAAGCATACAAAAAAATATTCCAAAACCACACTATGCTTCTATGGGTTTGTGAGCTCTAGTGACAGTAGCAAGCTTCAGTAATAAACTAAAAGAAAAGCACCAACTAGGGCTGTATTCAGGCCGCCTAAATTCCCCTGAAGTTGTATATGGCACAGTGGCAAAAGCCAAGCATCTTTGAGCAGTGACTCAGCACCCACAGTAGGGAGGAGGCAGCCAGCCCTCGTCAATGGGGACAATCAAGTACAGAGACTGCAGTGAAATTTAAGCCATCCTGATACTCCTCAATACGTATTCCTCCAGCCCCTGCTTCTGCTCTATTCCTGATCCACCACTCTTAACTTTTCCCTTTCCTCTCATAAGGAAAATTAAAGTTGTTCTTTGGGGGGAACCTGCAGATGATTTGAACACAATAAAAACGAACAAGTAATATAGACAAAGTAGCACCCACAGCTACTACATGGACCAGTAGCTGCCCAGGCCCAGCAAAGGATCTTAGCTCAGTATGATGTACTGCTAGATCCTCAGCAGGTTAACAAACAGATGGGGAGGCAACATAGACAATCAAGGATCGGGCATTAGTTATTCTAGTTATTCCCACCTACCAAGCATTTTTTAAAGGCCATGTGACTTGCTGAGCACTTTGACTGGAGATACACTTCTCATAAAACAGAGAAAAGATCTGGGCTGAGGGTCATATGCAAGATAAACTGCTTTGGAGATGGTAAAGAAATGAAGGGATGTAATACAGGGAACGTGGGCAATCCTCAACATTCCAAATACTTCATTAATATGGGTACCAACACTACACATCCATCCTGCCTTCAGCAGAAGGGAGGGCCTAAGAGGCTTAGGCATTTTATTGTTCCTTTTCTCACACTGTACAGACTGGATTGACCTCAAAAGAGTTATCAGTCGCTGGCTCCCTATAAATCAGAGCCTTATAAAGCCTGGCTGATTCCTTTCTGTCTTTACCGACAATTAACTTCCATGTCAGTGCCCCGGGGACACAACTCTCCAAGCCTGAAGAGACACATTGCCTGCAGTTGGGAAACCTGGGGGAAAGCTAACACACTGAGTGTCAATCGGTAGTTTCACTACTTTTTAAGGAAAAGCTTATGAAGTTTTAATTGAAAACCCAGGCAGTAACAAGCATTATTTAGGATAGATGATTAATATTTCTTGAGCTGAATGAAGAGTTAATTCAGAAAGTCAGGAGGATAAAGCTAGGATTTTGCGCTGATTCGGTTGAGGTTTGCACTTTTCTTGTCTCTTCTTTTTTTCTTTTTTTTCCTTTTAAAGCAGCTGCAATAAAAACTGAATGACATCCAGGACAATTCCCTTGATTCATCTACAGATGTGACCCAGAAGCAAAGCTCCAACAGACAGATTAATTCAGAACAGGATGGAACATGTGGAAGGCTTTTTAATAACCTGAGGCCTTATATAAGCCATACACTTCAGATTTAACGGTAGATAAGGAATGTATATAAGCGCTTCTTTATCTGCTTTGTTTATTGTAAACATATAGTCTACTGCTCCAGACCAGAAAAATCAGAGTTCCTCTTTCTCAAATTTGGGATGACAGACTTGCAAACTTGGAGTGCTTTTCCTCATCCAGCATACTTACAGAACCATGTCAGGCATGTCTAGAGAAGCAAGAGTTAGTCCCTCATCGCAGCACCCTGCCACTCCTGATACCAACCACTGCCACTTGAGGGAAGAGCTGGAACAAGTTATGATGAGG